TAATGTCATTGTTTAAATGCATATGTCTTGTATTATATGTTAAAATTTTAAGTAGCATTATTTTAGCACAATTATTTTATTTTCTAAAAATTTATTTTCGGTATAGAAATAATAAAAAGTGCAATGGCAACGAGCAAGCAGTCGATTGATACACGAAAAAAATTGATTAACATTATCAAAAGTAAGTGTTTTTAACACTTTTTTAAATTTGATAAGAATTGCCTTCTTCATTTTGATTTTTTTTATGTTTAATTTTTTCTTTTTTGTAAAGATGTATACTTTTATATTATATTTAAAAATTTAAGTTAAATTAAGTAAGACAATAATTTTAAAACAATTTTTTTTTCTTACTTATAAATCAAAGCTATTCATTTCCCCAAAAACATATTTAAATGAAAAAAGAATTTGTGGAATAAATAAATCATACAAAAGAAACTGGTTGTCTTACCTTAATTCTTAACAATTTTGTAATCTTTTCAATACATATTACTTTAAAAATTCCAACAAAATAAATTTGTTTAAACTAAAATTTTATTTACTAAAAATGATTCAAAACAACAATGAGTTCTTTTAACAGATTTTTTTTAAATTGTAGCAATTTATATTACTTATTTTGAATTTTTGCAAATTAAAACACAATTGTTTTTATAAATTATAATTTTCTTGCATTTTATTGACAAAATATCTAAAATAATTGTTGTATAATGTATTATTATCTATAGATTTGTAGTTAAATATTTATATGTCTTATTAAAGCTACATGAAAATGCACAGATTTTAGTTATTATAGTCCCAAATAGAAGAGCATATATAACATGTTGAAAAACATTATATTAAGTTAGCTTTTGTTCCTGTGTTTCTGCCTGTCAACATTTTTGGATTGCTAATTTACCCAAATTGCTGTCAACATATCCAGACAAAACTCGGAACATGAATTAGTTGCCAATGACAACNAATGTTTTCTTTTATTTTTGCGGAATTTATTGGTTATGTAAGTCTTTGGTGTAAAATCGTGTGATCCTTTAGAATTTTAATATATAATAAAAATAAACTGCACTTAAATAATTTGTACAACACAAATATGCTTTTAAGTGTTGTTTAGTTTTATATTACTTTATACTGCTTTCAGTTAGCAACAAGATGGACTACTCGTTTTTTTATTGTACTTAAAGTGATTAAGATATCGGAATGCGTTTTGCTAAATAAAGATATAGAAATATAAAATTAATGCTGGAAGGTAAGGTAAGACAACAAGTGTATACAAAATTTGTAAAATTCGAAGATAATATCCCGAAGTCAAATATAGGCGCTGATGGAAATGTCGTTTTGGTAGTTCCTGCGATCCTGTTAATCTTATGGTGTATTAACATTTAATATTCCATTACATCCACTGGCTTTAAGAGAATGGAATTTTGCAGGATTTAGCAAAAGCACATTTCCATAAAATGCCTCTTGGTCTCAGTAGCTATACTTGTGATGACACCTTACAAGGAGTTATTGCAAAGAAAGTGAAGCCCTTGCGTAGAAAAGAGCATTACGGTAGGCAAAATTTGGCAAAGAGTCAAGATTCCAATTGAGAAATGCTGCAGAAACTGTCATCATTCCCGGGATCGTCTTTGTAAGCCATTTGATAAAGTGTTCATAGCTACTTCATCGTCTCGCTTCCATGGATGGTGTAATTAATATATATATACATTATTAATGCTATAAATTGTTTGATTCTCATATGAATTTTTTATTTTTTTTCTAAGGCTTCATTTCTGTGTTGGCTCAAAAACCGTCTGACATTAAAAGATTCAATGATTTGCTAGTTGAACTAAAAAAATTCAAAGAAGGTGAGGAAATAATTTGTAGGACTATATTAAGTTAGTCTCTTCAAATTTTACATTAAGACTAAATTCTCTTTGCTATCATATTTGATAAATATTTCTTTTATATCTTATATCTATTAGGACGATTTTAAAAAAA